TGTCCATAAGCACAGGATTTTCTGGCCTTTTTCTAAGTTTGATTCCATTTCTTAGTCTGCCACTTGAGTATTTCTAACCTACGGTATGGCTAGTTCAAATGTTAAGAGTTTTGATAAGAAATTTACAGTTCTATTGAGAATTAAGTTGAAAACCTGGGGATAGTTTTCACTTGTATTTTCATGGCCTGTTTTCAAATTTATATGTCTTTTATCAAGAGAAAGACTGACTGGCACTTTTTACCTTTGGGGTTACTCATATTTGTAGCTTATGCATAGATTAGTCGGTCTGGCCATGGGTACTTTGTGGAGGCATGGAATACAAGCATTTTTTGTGATTTGTTTAAGCTTCTTACACAGTGCAACATTACCAAAAATAAAGAGGGAAAATTCGTGTTCACAGAGGGGAAGCACAACGGAAGCACACTGAGTATTCTTGGGAGAAATCCTATTTTCTCCGGCCTCAGAGAGATGCCGGTGATCGGAGGGAGTGGGGTTTTCAGGTTCATCCGAGGCTATGCTCAGGCCAAAACACACTCCACCCTAAAGCTGGTCACACCATTGTTGAATATAATGTTTTTGTGATCCACTATTAATCCTACAAAGATTAGTTTTGGATTCTAAAAAAGGGTTTCTTGAATTGTCAATTTTGAATTTGTTTGGTGTTATTGTTATTTATTGAAGAAACATATTATATGGGATTTATCTTGAAAAACAAGAATGAAACGTTTATTATTATTGTTTAGCAGTTATTATTATTAGATGTCATTACGTGCTATATAAAATGAATAATAAATAAAATAGTCCATCCACGAGATGAACACTATTATTAAGAGCTGCACTGGTGGGATACTTCCATTATTGATTGCATCATAGCAAGATGAGATGAAAGCAATGATAACATCATATCAACTGTTGATCAACAATTAAAGACACAACGACATCCCCGTTCCTCGCAGTGGCCTTTTCCACTCATCTGACTGCGGCAGTCGTTAATGCATGCCTGGCTTTCTGTGCATGGGGCCTTCCCAAGGAAAATTGTGCACACCTTCTCCACCTTCTGAGCGTTGGTCTGTATTATTTCCCCCACTGAAACTGATGATGAAGAAGAAGAGTTAGTAGAGAAAGTTGGTGCAAGTATTAAGTAAAGACTTTAGAAACCACATAAGATATAAGTTGATGATCGATCAGGTGTAGATGAAGAAATTTACCAGAAGAGAAGACAAGGAAGAGAACCAAAAGACAATGGACCTGGGTGATCTTCATCTCTACTTCCACAAGCAATACCTATACTCTGTGAATGAGCAAGGCTTACACAACCCTTGTATTTATAGAAAGGAAGGGTTCTCAATGGAGGGAATGACACCACCGCTACGGATAGGAGATGGATATTTGTTATAAATTTTGGCTATTGGGTTGTTAAGAATTTTCCTTCTTGAGAACAAGAGTATTTATTAGAATACTACAAGCTCTCCTGTTTGTTAGAGCTGCTCCTTAATATCACATCCTATATCATTAAATACATCATATTTAGTTTATTGGGAAATTGTCTAAAACTCACGATGACTTTTCGTCTATGAAACCCCATGTCAGTAACTTTACTTTAAATAGACTAACGGTGAAAGTAGATTACCATTTTACCCTTTGTTATATTCAACCCATCTTTTAATATTTCAAAAATATCCCTATTATTCAACCCAAAACCCATTTTTCAGCTTTCTTGGAATACTTTCAAGCAACATGATGAGAGCAAAACGCCTCTCAACAAGCGGAAATCTAATATATAAGGTAGTTGGGTGCTTAAGAACATTATAGTCATAAAAATATGTTTAATAAGGCTGACTCACCATTCAAGGGCAGTTTGGTCATGAAAATTTTATTTATGCTGACACGAACAACTTATGTCAATAAACACTAACAGGGCTCTAATGGATGGTGAGTTTTGAATAGGGGTGCAAGTCGGGTTGGCCTGACTTAACAGCTTTCACTGTTTCGAGCTTGGGCTTCGGGTTAGGCCCATTGAAATTTTGACAAAATCCCAACCCTAACACAGAAAAGTTTCACCCCTAGTTTTGAAATATAAAAACTTATTGACATGGATTCCTTGTGAGTTTTGAAAAGTTATGATGAATTCAAGAGAAATGTTGAAAAGTCATGGTGAGTTTTAGACAATCTACCTAATTTATACTATACTAGTGGAATGAGCTGTTGCAGGGGTGATATACAAAAATATGATATTAATGAGTTGTGTATTAAAAATACTATATTATGCATATGGAACAAAAAGAGCAAAAATTATGTTATCTGTTCAGACAAAAAACAATAATATACAGAATTTTAATTTACTTTGGGGGATCAACTCGGCACAACCCAAGCCCATGTGGACCCATGCTGTGGGCTGGGCTGGTTTGTGAACCAAGTTTAGAGCTAGGTTGGGCCACAGACCGGGAAAAGCAGTGCTTTTTTAAAAAGTTAAAAAAAATAAAATTTTTAACATAATTAAAAAATAGACAGAAAAAGATCTTAAAATTGTATTTTATATGAATTTTGAAGTATACAATTGTTTATATATGCAATGATAAAACGAAATAATATAATAAAACTGAAAATAAAATATATGTTAATATATTATATAATTTATAATATATAAATATTTATGGGTTGTGTTGACAGACAGGCCACGGGCAACACGGCCCACTCGATCATGTTGTGTTGTGCCAAGTGCCAACCCATGGACTCGAAACCTCAAACCCGATACAACCCATATGATCGTGTCGTATCCAGTACACCTCTAGATATATGGAGCCATAGAAGTATCTTACAAACAAATCAACTAAAAATAGATAATCCAATTAATAATAATAATTATAATAATAAAATAAATATTTCCAATATCTCTATTATAGCATATTTTGAGCTAAGGAACATTATCCTTTAAAAGCACATTAAGCTACTTAATTTCAATTTAAGTATTTTTTATAGGAAATTATTAATTACTTTAAAGTTATTAGTTGTGAACTTGTGATTGTAAAATTAATTTTTACGTAATAAATGTAATTTGAATATATAATTAGATTAACTGAGTTAATAAATTATTTAATTTACCATGTTCGATCAATTAAGTTAATATAAATAAATTAAGATAACTAATTAAATTAATTTGCTTACTTTATCTAATTGAAATATCTAAAAAATTTGCAAAATTATAATTTGGCGAAATACAATACATCCTATGAATTTTTCTTTTTTTGCTGCCAACATTTATAATGGATACGATACAAATTTCGAAATAATAGCAATTCTTCTTGTCTCTCTCTTAAACATCAATTGGTGGCCGCACAAATTTAAAGCAACCTGTTTCCCTATTTCGAAATAACATCAAAACTGAATACTGACCGACCCTAACCTGCCTGCCCCTTCACCGTAGATCAGACGCGTTTTAGCCAAAATAAAATATTGCTCTTTTTAGAGTTCAGTCCCCCTCAAAATACCCCTATAAACACCATCTTCCCCTGGTGAATTCCGCGGGCGCCGCTTCTACAACTTAAATCACTCATTATAGCGGATGAAACAAAAGAAAAACGAACTTCATTATCTCCACTACACCTTAAACATGATTTTGTTCAATTTTCCTCGAGAGGATGGAGCTTACCAACTCTGACTCTTGAGTAGGTGCTTAGTACTGTGGTCGTTTCCTCAAGCTCAGTTACAAACGTTGCGTGAAGAAACGACCATGATACAAACACCCACCAAACGTTCATGTAAATTGCACCCAACTTTGGGTCTTAGGTGGAATATGCCAACACTTGATTTGGCTGAACATAAAAACTTATTGTTTCATCATGCAGTAATTAATGCTATTTTGTTTGAAGAAGATATTACATGTAAGTGCAACATAACCTATCATTTGACTTGGGTGACCTACCTTAGGTTAGATCAAAGGCAAAGAGCATATTACTCCATGTTTAGTAATTTCACAAACAAGATCTTGGATTGAAAGGAACTGAATTGAAATTAAAGAAACAACAAATGCACTTTACAATCCATAAGCTTGAATGAAATTAATGACTGCCGGGAGATCCTAAAGACCGCTGGAATGATTAACTAGAGACGTTAAGATCATAGGAAGGGATAACCTCTGTTAAATTGAAGGTAAGAATGTTTAAATGTTATATCCATCCTATTTTGTGGAGTGCATCTCCATTGGGAGAAGACTCAATCATAAAGACAGGATGGCCTTGCTTTATGCACAGATAAAATCCTGGAAATCACTAAATAATAGGGTTCCCAAGAAGAACTATGTGCAATAATCAGTGCGGAAAATTCAAGAAAGAGGAGGAACAGAATAGATGAAACCGAGAGAAGAGGAACCAAAGATTGAAAATTTTAGGACACAGTTGCTGACAAATTTGGGGCTGTTGCCGTAGGATTGAACAGACTAGGTAGCCTCCCTTCTGCAACTCCATTAACCCATGACAAGATTCAAACATGAAGTGATAGAGGATGGTTTTCTATATGCAAACAGGAAATCCTGTTAGTCACTAAATAACAAGATTTCCTAGAACTATGTGCAATATCATCCACATTTCTCTAGCAATTTGAGATGGTTAAGAGTGAGGGGAGAAAAACTGTAAAGAAAGAAGAGGAAAAGATAAGGTCAACCATCATTTTATTCACGGACCAGCAAATGCGATTGGATTGACCCACCAATATGTATTGTGGCCAGATCCCAGGAACTGACCCCACTTGTACAGTGGTAGCAACAACATCCTCTATATCAGCCAAACCCGTAATCTAACCTTGATTTAACTGAGATTTTATGGTCAAAGTCAAAAATAAGAATCACATTTTTGTTCCAAGATGCAGATAATACCCAAACGAGGATCTCATTTTTCAATTTAAATGTACCTCAAGTCACAGAGATAAAACGTGAGTGCTGATACCATACATCATCATATACGTTATACATGATACATATTTACTGTCAGCACATTTTACTACCATAATACCAACCCAATCAACAATTCTTTAAATAGATATGCAAAATATTATGCATCCAACCCAATCAGCCTCTGGCATGGAAAAAATCTTGGAGTAAAGAAATTCCTATGCGAGACCAACTAACTGGCTGGCATCAGAATGACGAACAAGTCATAAATTATGAAAAAGTCTCTTGCATCTAATGGAAAAGGTAGGGTATATATGTTGCCTATCAAGTCAAAACAACAAAAAACTTGACAAAAACGAAGCTCTGATCTCAATAACTGGGGGCATAAAATGTCCACAAAAAGAAAAAAATAATAGACAAGCAAAACCAAGAGGAACTGCTGACCTAGTAACCTCCTTTGAGATCATTCACAACATCATATGGGATGGGGGTGACAGTTTCCAACGTGGCACCTTCCACCATGAACCCTGGTTTAGGTCCTTCAGGCTGCCTCTTCGTGCTAATCACCTCACCTCGGGCTTTGGCCTCAGCCTTTAGTTGGTCATTCTGGAACTTGCGCCTTTTGAAGTCCTCAGTGCACCTTGATGGTAGCACATGTTCTACCCGCACATGAATCCTCTTACGAATTATTCTATTGCCCACCTGATTGATAACCATTCTTTGTGATCAGTTTGTTATTACAAAAAGAACAGAATGCATGAGAACACCAACTAGATCAACTGAAGCCAGATTAACATCAATAACAGCTTAATGGTATAAATTTCTATAGAAGTCATAAATATATGGACATAAATAGGCAGGTTGGCAAAGAAACTGATGGTAGAAATTTTTAAAGCATTCATTAAACCAAATACCTAAAACTCTTCAAATACCAAGAAAAGAAAAACAACCAAGAACACTTTTTAGTATTAAGAAGTAACAAAAGATAAAACCTGGGATGAAGAAAAATGGTGAGACAAGATTCGCGTGGTCAACCTAAATAATTGGGTCATGATTATACAACAGGCAAGACAAAATTTAATTTCATTTGAAGATACTAAAACACATTATGAATCTTCTACGATTCTTAAATAGAACCTATCCACTCAAAAGTTGTAAAAAAAGGAAAAAGATTTGATCAGAAAAAGATCATTACCATCAAAATACCAGCTTCAAACAGATACCAAGGACCTTAATATTCAATCACAAAAACTAGCAATCACAATAATCACACACATAGACTACTTCGAAACATATAAATAGAAAAGACCTAAAGAATCGATCACAAAGGGTCATTTATATCATCTTAATCACTAAGGTACTACTTTAGCTATTTCAAAAGCTGATTGACAGAGAAACCACGTACAGACACCAAAATCAGCTAACACTATTTCTGAATGCATACGACTGCATTCTAGTAGACCATGGGTTTAGATATCACCAAGATTATAGACAACATCTCAACCAGTTACGCCACAAATTTAGCAAGTATTTTTCCCCATCACCCACACGTCCCCACCATATCTGATCCAGATATCCAGATTAAATTCTTATACCAATAGTGCATCGAGCATCTACCAATTAAAAACAAGGAAAAGCAAAGACCTGCAAGGCGCATGCAAACAACAAAATCATAGTTCAGTACTGAGAATTCTATGCAAAGTAACCAGACCATGATTACAGGCAATGTCTTCATAATAGGTCTTTTTTCACTCGAGAAGTTAACTGAATAACAATAAGATTGTTTTTCCTTCACTCTGTTCATAACCCCAATTCACCAAATGCAACGAATATCCATTTCAACCAAAAATATGATTTCTACTTCCATTACATTATTCATTTCTTCAATAACAATAACGTCATATACTCAAATCAAAAGTAAATTTGGGCTTAAACCACGAAATCGAAACAACACAGTAGACAAATCAAGTCAATAGGATAAACAGAGAGATCTAGAACATGGCAGAGAAAGGATAATAGAAACCTGTTTGTTGACTTCGACACCGATGGCTCGTTTGGTGACGTTCCAGACCTTCCCGGTGCGGCCATGGTAGAATTTATGGGGCATGCCCTTGTGCACGGCACCGTTCACCTTGATGTCGACGTAGTCTCCAATACGGTAAGTCCTCAGGTACGTCGTCAATGGGATGTACCCCTTCTTCCTGAACGGCCGAGAGAACAAATCCCTCGTCCTAGACCTCAGACCGTGACCCGCCGGCATCTTCCCTTCTCTTTCTACACCTCTCCCTCTCCCTCTCCCTCTCCCTCTCTCTCTCTCCCTCGGCAGGAAAACCGTTTAGGGTTTCAAGTAAAACCCTAGTTGTTCTAATTTATAGTTCCGCCTCCAAAGAAATGATCTTAAGTTGCGCTCCGGGTGACAATGCCTTAACCCGCGCACCCCTCGACACACTTGGGATCTGTTGCTCACTTGGCTGTGTAGCATTTGCCACTCATCACCAATTACGATTGAACACTTAGTATTCCCTACACATCAATCCACGAATCCGGATTTGTTCTTACGGCGACCTCACAGAACGGAGATGCTCCAGATGCACGGCTGAAACGTGCTGTGAGATCGGTGTAAGGTGCGTGAGTGAGGAGCAGATTAAACCTGAACCACATTTCCGATCCCAGATCACACACCTCACATCGACTTTACAGCATGCTTCGGCCACACCAGGAACATCTCCCCTAATCATATCCCAATTCATTTTCTCTACCTTTGCCCTACCCATAATACGTTGCAAGAAAATCCGATTTGCCACATGCCACATTATGGAAAAGTGGCATGTTAACTTGTGATTGATCACATAGCAAGTGCTGCATAACTAAAATAAGCAGGGCTAATAAGCATGTGATTAGAAAATGTTAGTGCAAGAAATGGCAAAGTGCTCAAAAATCAGCTACTCCCAAAACCACGAATCACATCTAGGACTGCGAGTCAGGTTGGGTTAGATTGGATTGAGACCAACCCTAATTCAATCTTAAGTTCTAAACCCCAACCCTAATTATCGAAGTTAAGATTGGGCCCAACCCAACCTTCTTTCCATTTCTTATAATCTAGCAGAACTTGTTAATCTTAAACCCTAATTCAATCTTCACTAGATATATTAATTTTATATTTTATTAGTATTTGTTTCTTAATGTTTTTATTGATTCTTTAAGTACAAAATTTAGAAAAAAAAAATGTTTGAAATTATGAGTTATAACTTTATAATAGATATGAAAAGCATGGGTGGTAAACAACAGAGGAAATAAGGAATAAAATATTGGATAAATTACAAAGACCCCCCCCCCCCTTATACTATGGGGTCTATGACAAAGACCCCCTCTTCGCGTTTTATACTTTCTCACCTTATTTCTCCCTTGCAATCAAGGGAAAACCACCCAGTGAGAGAGAGAGGCAGCTGACCCTCACCTGTAGAAAAGCGTGAAAGGAGGGTACTGATAATATATCCCGAAAGAGAATCCAGCCTCATCAAGCGAATCGAAAATGGTCTTCTGTGGGAACTCATGGATCAGCTTCTTGGTGTCATTGTTGACTATATCATGCGATGTTGCAGAGTGAATAAACAACCTATTGGGCTGTGTTAGAGTCGGAATCGACGCGAACCACCGGTCGCACACAGCAAACTCCATCACCAACTCCTTGAAAACCGGCACCACTTCTGGTCTTAACCCATTCATCACTACCTCCGACAGCCCCTTCTGTACGCTCTCTGCCTGCTGAGCAAACACATTCATCGTCGCAACCTTATCATCACCAGAAGATGACTGTCCCCCATGGGACGCTGAACGCTTGCTCGCATATTGCATCAAATGAGTGACCAGGGTTGGGGTCAACGAACTCCGACCGATTACCGAAGTAAATACGCGTTGAGTTGGGATCGGTTGTGGACAACAAGTTGTATTCTTGTCCTGTAACGCCATCTATTTCAGGATTGAGGGACTTCATCCATCCCAACATGAGATTGAAGGAGCGGTTCTCTTGCACTAAAACCACCACTGTTTTGATGGGACATGGCTTGCTATTGCTGCTCTCCGATGGCATGGATTTGGGTTTGTTGTGACGGTAGTAACAATCCTCCCAAGTGGTTTCGTTACAGAAAACACCCACTGATACAGATAGGAACAGAACAGATCGCTACAAACTGCAAAAGTAAATAAAGATTGAAATGGAAGGTGAGTCCTTTAAACTAATGATAAACGTTCAGTAAGCCTATGTCAGTAAACATAACTTTTCAATATTTCTCCTTCGTGACCAACCCCTCCGAGCTGTTTGGCTTCACAGAGGGGTGCTTACCCATGTCTAGATGGGATGAACTGAACAATTTCTTCAGAAAGGCTGGGTAAGACGACTTACCTTACTGTTTTATTATTTCTCCAGACCATTGATCCATTTTTTCCACAAACAATTTCTTCTGTAGGGCCAGATGTTCATTTCTTAGGTTAAATAGGTTTTAAGAGAAAAAGGGCAAGAAAAATAAAATAGAAAAAATTTAATAGGGTATTTTGGTAATTTAACATTTTCTGCCATCTGACTTAATGGCCAAAGGGGTCTTGTCTCATGGTCATAGTACAGGGGGGTCTTTGTCACAAAACAAAGTATAGGGGGAGGGGGGTCTTTGTAGTTTACCCTAAAATATTTAAAAAATATAAAATATATTATTAAGGTTTTAGTATTTTCAATTAGGATTAAGTGAAAGTGATCATCTTAAAAAAAATGATAGTTTGTGGTGAGAACTATACAATTATCATGCATCAAAACAAATCAATGTATGATATATCATATATCTAATATATTTATATATGATATGTATCACATTAGTCAGATTCGGGTTGAATAAGTTACCTAAGGGGTGAATCATAATCCAATCCAAAGTAAAGTCGGGTTCATAAATTTCAACCCTAACCTTAATCCAAACATCAACCATATCCAACCCAACTTGACTTTTTTTTGGGTTGGGTTCGGGCCAACCCAGCTCAAGATGCAGAATCACATCTCTTCATGCATTGATGTGGCCCCACCTTGAATTTGATGAAGTGACATAAAATTGGCCTCAACAATGCATTGAATGCCGTGATTTTATAGTTTTAACCTACTACTAATTTGAGACCAAATCAGCCCCCCACAACATCCCACAGCACATCTCTGTCGTGTATTGGGAACATTTCCCGATGATAATCCCATAAATGATGATGTCATCATTAGGAGATATTCCCAACATGGTTTTTAAGATCGAACTGGTCAGGGGTCCAATTACAGTTGAAGCCGGCATCTTTACACCCCCTACCGATATCATACTTTCTGATGACGATCTAATAACAAAATCAATAGTGGTTAGGGTGCAAATGTATTCGATCATGATCTCTGATTTGATCTTATTTCGTCGAATTTGGAACATTTATATTCGGATTGGATTCATATCACTTTCCATCCAATATATATTATATATTTAAAAATATAAATATAATATATATATATATTATTTATTTATTTATAAATATATCTTTATATTATATTTTTACAAATTTGTTATATCATTTATTTTTTATAAAAATATGTATATATATAATGAAATAATAAAAAACACTTGTATTTTTTGTTTTTACTTTATTTAAAGTAGTATGTTTTAATTTTCTTTTAATGATTTATTAATTTAAAAAACAAATCGAATTACATAAGATCCTAAGATCCGAATTACCGATAGGATTCGAATTCAAATCAAGTGTTATCAGATCCGATCGAATCTTCAAATTGGATCAAACCCAATATGAATAATATCAAATTGTACTGGAATATACCCTGATCCAAATCCGATCAGATCCGTTTCATTCCTAATAGCGGCACAATTCTGATTTCTTAAGTCAGCATTAGAATTTAATTTCACATAACATTGAGGGGGACGGCCCCAAGCCGCATTAACGACTTGGTGACAATTGTCCTACTAACTCTATTCTGCTGTCTTTTCTACTAACTCAATGACTTGGTGACAATTGTCCCATTTTCATGTGATTTTATTATTACGTGCAACAATTTACACGTGAGAAATTTCCTCTGCCACCCCCTTCTAGCGCTACTGAACTGCACCACCGTCCTCCCCATCAATTCCTTTTTCTTTTGCTTCTATTCATAGTTCATAATAGGCAGCTTTCGTTAGATATTTTATCTTCTATGTCTCAAAAAACAAACTCCCTTTCCATTGAAGAAATCCTGTCAGAAGTTGTTGCACCTTCTGAATTCTGGTCGACCCACCAACGAGAACGATGTCATTAACCTGACTCTTGTCAATCTTCGAATCTCGAAGGCACTTCTCGACTGGTTCCATGCATTTTCTGAACAAATCCATGTTCAATTCCTCAAACCAAGCTCGAGTAAATGTCGGGTAGAAATCGATGCCTTTGTAGAGGGAATCAATTTCAATTGTCGTCTACAGAGTCCGTTTTGCCCTCTCGCAAGCAGTCCCAACCGCCGCAGAGCCCTGGCGTTGCCACTGGTATCCTTCTTGTGCTTTCGCTTGAACTCTGCAACGAAGTGGTTGACAAGGCGGTTGTCAAAGTCTTCCCCGCCGAGATGGGTGTCTCCGGCGGTAGCCTTCACCTCGAAGATCCCTTCCTCGTTAATCAGAAGAGAAACGTCAAACGTACCACCACCGATATTGAAGATGAGAACATTCTTCTCGCCGGATATCGATGCCTTCTTATCCAATCCATAAGGCTCTGTTTGGTTTGTGGGAAGATTTAGGTGGGATACGATGGGAAAGTGTAAAAGTTTGCACTTCCATTGTTTGGTTTTAGGTATGAGAAAATAAATGGAAAAACACTGTGACGAAAAAGAGAGAAGAAAGGGAAGAAGCAGATCTGGGTTCGAACGGGGAAGGTAACAGATCTGGGTTCGAACGGAAAAGGTAACAGATCTGGGTTCGAAAGGTAACAGATTTGGTGCGACCCCAAATCCACAATTTTGGGATTTGATGCGATTCCAAAGCCCTTTGTTTCCCTCAAACCAAATAAGAGAAAATCTTATTCCATCCCGCAAACCAAATGGAGCCTAATCAATTGTAGCAGCAGTGGGTTCGTTGATAATCCGTAGAACGTTTAGTCCAGCAATCGAACCGGCGTCCTTCGTTGCCTGCCCTTGCGAATCATTGAAGTATGCCGGTACAGTGATGACTGCATTTTTGATTGCATGACCCAGAAACGCTTCTGCAATTTCCTTCATCTTAGTCAACACCATGGATGAGATCTCTTCGGCAGAGAAGTGTTACTCTTTGCCTTTGTAGTGAACGACGATCATGGGCTTGTCGCCGGGTCCAGCAATAACCTTGAAGGGCCAGAGTTTCATGTCGCTCTGGACAGACAGATCAGAGAATCGGCACCCAATGAGTCGCTTAGTGTCAGACGATATTGGCTAGATTCATGGCCACTTGGTTCTTCGCTGCATCACCGATCAGTCTCTCTGTATCAGTGAGGGCGACATAGGAGGGAGTGGTCCGGTTGCCTTGGTCATTGCTTTTGTGTAGGATTGTATTTTTTTCCTTCTATTGTAGAAGTATCAGCAGCGCTAGAAGGGAAAGATATCTCACGTGTAAACTGTTGCACGTAATAATGATGGGATCATATGAAAATGGGATAGGAAAGGCAGCAAAATGGGGTTAATAGAAAATCCGGATTGCATTAACGAAGCAATCCTCCACCCTTGTAGATGAGGAAGCTAACACCTCAACTTGTTCCAAGACTCCACCTTTGAGCATAAGAAACAATATCCATTGGTGGGATCTTAACACCATCATGAATTAACTTGTTTATGGACTTGGATATCAACCAACATGTTCAAGCAATTAGAGGAAGCCAATCCCTTCCGTCTTGTTTTGATCTATCCACCCAATAAAGGATCCACTCATTGAGTTGAGATGGAGGCTGATTCTCCATGACTATTCCAAGCCCAAACCAAATGGCTCTAGCATAATCACATTCTACAAATATATGAAGATTTGATTCAGAGTAATTATCACACCATGGACATACATCACTAATTTCAACATGCCGAAACTTTAGATTAGCGAACATTGGAAGAGCACTATAACATGCTCACCACAGCAAATGGGGAGGGCTACCTCCAACCCATTACACAGAAAATGTAAAAAATCCGAATTCATACGACTGTGGAGATGAAGAAAGAAAGAAAGAAAGAAAACCTCATTGTCGCATGAGTTTTGTTTAAGAAAAAAAAAAAAAAAACTCGGTAAACTAGTATCATTTCTGTGTATCAAAGACTTTTCATATAAACGTTTTTCTGGTATCATAGCCCTATATTTTATTGTCACTAAAAACTAGACGGTTTATCTGATTCTCTTAATTTTAACTCTTAAATACCCCAGGAGTACAAATACAAATATGTAGTGTACAAAATAATGTATTTTTGTATTATTTTGCATGTATTTATACTCCTGCCAAACTGAGCCTTATGGACTCTCTTATTACTACCATATCGAGCATATACTCATTGATCAATTAATCAATTGTTAAAATTAATGTTTTTAAGTATTTATGTGATTTACTTTGGCCCAATAGCATAACACCTCACGTAGACTATCACAACTATACTTATTGATATATTTATTGGGAGTCTGGATCAATTAGGCAGGTCATTGTAAACACGTATTTTCAAATTTTTTTTGACACCTACCCTTTGAAATTCCCCCAACTTACTCTTGAAAAAAAAAATTAAAGACAATTTTAACAGTTGTCATCAAAATATTTATAAACTTTCTATATTGTGTCTACTACATCTTATCCTATTTGCTGGATTGTCAATAAGTTCCTTTAGCAAATTATGAAAAAAAAGGGTCTTGGGAGGATAGATTAAGTAAAATCCTAACATTTGGCATTTTTGTCAAACATGGTGACAGCCTTCCTTTCAGACTTACACCCATATTCTTACATTTGCCAGCCGATTTTACCATTATACCAAGTGATGGTCCCTTTCTTTAACAAATCCATTTGTCTCAATCATTCCATCGTGTCCATGTACATCCATATCCAAAATTGCATCTTTATATGCACCTCGAATTTTGGAAGTTTTCCATAAGTTTTGATACTTTTGTTTTCCATAATTTCGGGTTGACTCGCCACCCAACTCAAACGAGCCCTTTCTTTTTATAAGGAACCCATGAGGTCATGAACAATACCAAGTAAAGAATTGCTGGTTTTGTACAATGTTTAAAAAACCGACCGGGGAAGCAAAACTACTTTGGCCACCGAGGATCAGCGGTTTGACCATCTGATATGCACAAACAGCCTGTTGCAATTTTTAGAAAATATAAATAAGAAAATTAATTAAAATAAAAATTGACAAAGTCATTGTTCAAGTTAAACAATTGACCACCCAGGTCAATGGCTCACTGACCAAGCCAATGGTTTGTAGCAAAAAAACCGTTCAGGGGTGAGATGGAACCGATTACCTGAACGGTTTACAGGCCAAACAGTCCAACCATCCGGGTTGAAAACCATGATTTTATTCTAGCAGTCTGGAATCTGGATGTATCAATGATTCAATGCCTACTGATACTCTTAAAATTGGATTGGTTGCTCTGCTATGCACCAACACCGTACTACTATTTTGAACCTTGGTTCTTGGATCACACCATTTTCATTTTATCTCAAATATACAACCCAAAGCTGAAATATTGCAGGAGGGAAGAAAATGACGAAAAGGAGGATCAAATTGGCCAACCAACAGAAGATTACTTGCAATGGATTGCTAGTAAATTCATTTGCAGTGGGGTATGAGAGGCTCACCCAAAATGCACTGAACTGACTTGTCAAATATGGAATCATTTTTAGCAGCAATTATTTGCAAGACATATATATATATATTATAAAATTGTGATACAGGCACCACGATGCATCAGTTCCAGCCTAAAATGCTTCAATGAAGAGGTGGATGCAAAGCTGAATCCTGCCTGTAATCCTTTTACTAATTGATTCACAACTAAAATTCCCAGTCGCCTAACCAGTAATCACATGCCAAAGTAATGGAAGACATGACTCCATATTTCACTATCAAATTGTAATTTAGATGGAGAGCAAGGAAAAGGAAAGAACTAGGCCTATATTTGCATAGTTTCAAGGATGAAACTATGTACTTCAAGAAAGTGAGTCTCCAGTGGAATTCAGGAGAGTAACGGGAAAATTCTTTTCATGCTACAATATGTACAGGTAAAAGCTTGGATACATACAAAGGGGAAAACAGGGAGGACTTAAATAGAAGGACCAGATCTGAGCACCCTCTCTAGTTTCTCAGCTTTGGTGTAATCCTTTTCTGTGAGAGGCCCAGCAGGAAAAGCTGTGATCTCAACAACCAGGTGTGGCGTGGGCAGCTCGTCAAAAAGAGCCCTCACATTGTTGCAACAAACACTCTCTCCATGAGCAGTCTCCCTCCTAATTTGACAACCCTACAGAGCATCCACAGAAAACATCCAGTTAAGCAAGCTCCAATGAGAAGTAAAACAAAATGAATAACATCCAGAAAGATTGTTACTAATGCTGCATTTGGAAACAATGCAAATAAGTGTGAATGCAAATCTGTAGAGTGTAAAATGGTTCATATAAATTGTAAAATTGGGTTAGTTTTGCACCGACAAATTTATTTTTTTACCAAACAGATTTTTAGCTGTAATGGATGTAAACATGAATTCCAATAAAGCATATGTTTTTTTTTTAAATAAAAAACCCACTTGAATGCAAATTTATTTCTTTTTTATTGATATACTTTTACAAATATGCATTGGTCTGTCATTTGTCAATGCATAAATGCAATGTTGCTAAACAAGGGCAAAAGTGAACCAGAGTACAAATTTACCCTGAACCGGGATAAAACAGACTTTGTTTAAGTTGAATCGTGTGAGGTTTTAAATGTTAATGAGAAGCAGAGATGCATTAAATACCTTATGGGAAGTGGCATCTATGAAGTGATCATCATCCGAGAGCAGGGCTGCAATTGCTTTGAGAAGGCGTCGTCCTTCGGATTTGGAAGGAACTCTGTAGCTTCTCTTGAGTGTACCCTTTGTTGTTGGATGCCACTTGCTTACCAGTTTCCTCCTATCTGCTGCTTCCTTCTCCTCTGATCAAAACATATCCACAAAGAAGTTGGATAGATTCAGTGAATGTCAATTAACATATTCCCTCCTTGATACTGCAGTTGAATCTTTATCAGCTAATAATATCAATTAACTATCCTGATCTCATTCTTTGAGGAATTACGCAAGGAATCAGTAGATCTGGATAAACCCAGGAAAGAACAGAAGATAAAAAAGGGAGAAAACAAAGTTGCAGACCTGATCGCCCTTTAAAGCCCTCAATCCACTTAAAAAAACCCAAATCGCTCGACTCTGTTTTCGCATCTAGTGAAAAAAAAAACAAAATAATTTAGAAGGCAAGATAAACAAATAAGAGAAGGATTATTATCTTTAACATTCAAAAAAGGAAGAGGAGAGAGAAAGGGGTAAGAGTGGAGAAACCTGAGATGAAAGGGTTTGTTTGAGATCCAGCCAGTCCGGCCTTCAAGAGAGCATAGAAAATGCAAAGCCTTCCAGCCCACAGAACAGGAGCTTCAAGTAAGGAAGCTTGAAATCTTCCATTCCCGACACCGCACGATCTCCCACTAAACAGTTGAAGCTTCTTCAGAGCGGTGGCGGAGACGCCTTCGAAACAAGGAAAGAGGGTTTTGGGAAGTAATGAAGGATTTGGGTGTCTACCCTTGATCTGGGTAGCTTGGAAAGGCGATGTAAATGAGGTTTGGACTAGAGAGAGAAGCATCCCTTCGCTAGTTTCAGGAAAAGAAAAGCAAGCCCCGATCAGAGAGATCCCTGAGAGAGAGAAAAAAGTGAAAAACCGAAAAACAACTACAAGTGAGATGGAGAGGAATGGTGGAGAGGAATGCGAGAGAGATTTTTCTGAGAGTGTGTGAGAGGGTCGACAGAGAAGATTTGTAATAATCAAAAACTAGCCGTGACTGTGAACTGAATCGTTGCAGCGGGAGCGGTCACGCTGAATAAACCGTGTGAGCCATATCGTGTTCGTCATTCATTGGTTGAAAAGAGACATAAAAGAATTTGAGCCAATGAGCGACGAACATCTCCAGATATTCCATGTTAGCACGGCTATCCGGACCCACCATTGCATTCTACAATCCATAAACATTATCCGTTTTATGACCATAAAAGATGAAACCGAGGACGAGGACCCGAGGGTGTTTTAGCAAGGTTTACTTAAATTTTCCCACAGCACATCCCTGCCGTGTATTGGGAATATATCCAGATATCAGAATTAAGGGGTTCGAGTTTGACATTAGTTTTGGGAGGAATGAGTTGAAGATTAAGACCTTGTTTGGTATGTCCTTTTATGCAAGTTTTCAGTTTTTTAAAAGTTCGTAATTCACGTTCGCATTTTCCAAGGAAGATTATTCCACTAAAAGACCTTAGTCCAAAAAGATGTGTGAAGATCGATTTATACTTATTTTGGAAAGCTAGAATTGAAATTCCTCACATTTTTTGCCTTCCCAGCTTCTTGCGAGTAGCTCAAGAGAACACTCTAACCAAACGATTTTAGGCTTCCAAAATCTCAAAGAAAAAGTTCACCATATCTTTTAGCAATCAGATCTTCCAAATAAAGGTTTGCCAAATGATGCCTTAACTAAGTGCCGGTTTAGGATGGCTTTAAAGCAGCAGCTTGTATGAATCAAGAAACCCAAATTGACAAAAATTCAGAAAAACAAAAAAAGACTTACATGAACTAAAAAAAATAAACTTACAGTAAAACTATCATAAATAGCATCAGCATCTTGAAAGCGGCTCCATCAACATAACTCAACCACCGCAGAAGGAGACAGGGTCTGCTCCTCACAAATGGGCGCCTCACATGCACATCCACCATGCATTGAGAACATCTCCTGTGAATAATAATTGATAAGTACAGGAAATGTTCCAAATGCATGGTAGGATGTGCGTGTGAAGCACCAAGTGTGAGGAGCAGATCTGGTCTGCCGCAGAAGCCCTCCCAAACCGGCTTTAAGCCATTTTACCTGATTTGAGGTGCTCTGACCTCTGATTAAAAGAGGCCGAATAACCAATTTGGGCTCTGGATTTTTCATCAAAAATAGCTCATGTGGGGTTCAGCTCGGAAAACCAGTGGTCACTGCGCTTCAGGGTGCTCATTTGGGAGGGCTGAAACACAGCAGCTTCTGGCTTTCCAAGGTGTACCCCATATGATATCCTATTTGTTGAAAAATCTGAACAGCTCAAATTGGCCGTCAGTCATTTTTAAGGACTAGCCTCTTTGAATAACTTGCAATGCTTCAAAGCAGCTGAACCGGCTTAACTGAAGCCCTCCGCCCTCCATGGCGGGACCTGGATTATGAATAGATTGTGGGTCATGATAAATTCCTTTTTGTTTGGCAAAGGAGGGCCCTGATAGACTGATACAATTCCCCCACATTGGTTTACTAGAAAAGCACCATAGATGGGAAACCATTCACCAATCGCCGGTTAAAAATTTCACAAACTATATACAAATGCACTTCGAACACTAATTAAATACTTAGATGTATTTTTTAGGTGTAATAGCCAAAATACAACTGATCAATACTAACAAATGAATTAAAGTTTATATAAAATAATCTTTTTTTAATTATACATATATATGCTCTTAAATTGGACTATACATTTGCCCCCGCACCATCCTCACAACAAGTATGTTTTCATTGGCAGGAAGGTGTTCCCAATGCACGGCTAAGTGTTGTGAGGACGAAATCCGGCTTCTACTAATAAATCTGCAGAATGCCGATATCACCCCACCAGAAGAAGCAACACTACAGAAGAGAATCCATGAATGGTTTTTCTCGTATTATGATTTATACTTGGAAGGCTAGTGGCCTATGCGGATAATATTGCTACTTTGCCAGCATTCAAAAAGTTTTGAAATGTATAGAAACTTGTTCCAGGAGGGGTTATGCAACAGGGCCTGAACACTGCCGTTGCTGCAGATAAACAGTGCTCTGAATCAGAGCGATCAATAAGAATTGATAGTATTGATCACTTTCATGGTGATGGGGCAAGACAGATTACATGTTTTACGGCAAAGTCAAGTTCACTAATGATTTATGGTGCATTGGTTTCACAGCTTCTAGTCATCAAGATACTTGGAAGATCCATTCATGCTTATAAAGCAGCAAAAAGATAATGACTATCATCAAGAAAACATTATTAAAAAGTCAAATACATTGAAAACCTCAAAGGTTTTGTCAGATACAACTATGGCTAAGCTTTAAAAAGAAAAAGAAAAAAAGATACAACTATAGCTTCAAAATTGGAATTTGAAATTTACATAGATAATGGAAAAAGAAAAATAAGGGAGAAAGGGGTTGAAACAGAAAAGCATACAAAAAATTAAAAGAGGGAAATCATATATTCACAAACCGAACATCGTTCTGCCCAAATGCAGTTCCACATCCAGGACACTTTCTGTGGCGTATCTCTAGGTTCCTTTGGATGCATGGATTGCAGAACAGGTGGTAACACTTTGTAATTACGACCTGACAAAATAAATATAACTCAATCCTATCAGCATTCATAATAGAAAACCAGGAAACAGTTTCATAAATCATTTGCTAATTCCAAAGACCACCCTGGCTTCACAGGCTGTCTGTCACTTAGTACCTATGATACTAGCAATGCTCTCCAAACACAAACTTCCACATCCTGAACGATGAAAGATGCATGATAGAAAATCTGAGATGAATGTATCAACAAATGAGTATATGCATGCGTACATGCATACCATGTATGCATGAATGGAGATACGCTTCCCACATACAAGGTTTAAAAGGCCAAAAGAGGAGTGTCAAAGTAATTTGGGCCTTTAGAAATGAGGTATACTCGTATGCCTCGAGGTTTTTCTAGGTGTAAGGCTCAAAAAAATAAAAAATTATTGATGAGTTTCATAAACCATAAATGTATGCTTAATACATATATTTATTTATTTTTTCCTTACAAGATATGTGTTCTAATACAATTTATTTTTTTAATTAATGTTTCATTTACTTTCTAGATTAATATAACATGGTTAAAGTTAACCCAATTTTATCTTGAAATAGATTATTTTCCTTCATTTTATCATTTACAAGTTTGGGCTACATGATCTCCAATTTTATAATTTACTACATGCCCAAATTTAGGTCAGGATACATCATTAAGTGGGTCATAGCACAGATATTAATATGGGAAAAATACTAGCTTTAAACATAATAGCAGCATGTAGTATTCATTCTACATAATTGGATAGTGGGAAATGTGGCGGTTTCTTTCCCCTAGAAAAATTGGTTCTTGTTTTCCTTTTGATGGTGCGTAGGTTGACCAGAGTACTAATGAGCAGAAATGTGCATGGAGTTAAATGCACATGTGAGGTACCACAAATAAGAAGTCATCAGTTAAATGCCCATGGTCAATTCTTTCAACTTTATTTGACTACTTATTTATAATGCATCTCATATGCATGATTCTCCATGGGCATTCATTTCTTTGAGATGAGCAGAAATGTGCATGGAGTTAAATGCACATGTGATGTACCACAAATAAGAAGTTATCAGTTAAAGTTGTAGCTTGGAGGAAAGTAAATGGGTCATGAGAAGAAATGAATGCCCATGGAGAATCATGCATATGAGATGCATTATAAATAAGTAGTCAAATAAAGTTGAAAGAATTGACCAGATTTTGACTTTATTTGACAATTAACGCAAGAGGTGGAAAGGCAACTAAGCATACACCTCCCCGAAACTGAGGTATATGCTTCTTGGATCACTCCTGAAGCAATACCCTTGAAACAAAATTGACCACCTTGCCTTGAGGCAAGCACCTCTTGTCTTGCCTCAGCCACCTTTCAGAACCATGGCCTTAATGACCAAGAAGTTTTACAATCAAAGAAAAAGCTTCAGAATATGACATTGCAAATCAAACATTAAAGCCAATAAATATTACCTCCTTGGGCCGGTCAAAACATACACCACACTTGAGGATTGCCTTGCACTCCTTGATCTCATCCTGCAGTTTCTGAATAGCAGCCTCCCCACTTTCTGAACTCAACTTAACAACCTTATCCTTCAGTTCTGTGAGCTCCTCCTCAAGCCTTTTCTTCTCCGATCTGTTCAGAAAAGATCAAAGTACCTTTAGTTGAGAAAAAAAGATTCAGCTTAGAATTGACAACAAAATTATGCAACTGTTCATACACAACTAATTTAGGATATAGCTTTTAACATCTGACTTTCTTCAATTCTTTTGCTTGGCTATCTGAACACCAAAATTCTGGTGTTCACTTCAGCTACTAGACATGCCCATTATAAAATGGTAATAGGTCCCACCACATGTCATGATCAAATGAATGCTGCTATTAGCTTTCATACTAAATAAACGTTTTTTTGTAAAACAAAAATTAATTAAAAAATATACATTTGATAAAATACACCACCACATAAACATTTGCTTGTTTATCAGCTTAAAAAAAAGACGTTTATTACATTATGTGGTTTCTCACTTCCTACATGATGAAAACATAACAGAGAAAGAAGAGAACCATAAACATAGTTTAAGGGAATTCTTTCATCAAAATCAATTAAAAAATGGAAAGAAATGGGTACGTGGTCTTAGGGGTGGACAAACATAGTGAAATACGTACTGATCAAAGTATAGGAATCTATCATCTTAGACTCTCCAATCTTAAATTTCTGTATAGACTTGGGGGGTGATCATTTCTAGCTTGGCCTGGAAGACCATCCCAGCCTGGCCCACAAATCTTTGGGTTAGGGCCTGGGTCCAAGACCTCAGGCCCAGACCAGCCTGGAATATGTATATGTGTGTGTGGGCCTGGAATCCCAGCCTGTGTAGGGCCAGGTAGGGCCCAGGCTGTGCCCCGTATCATAAGTGCTAAGCCAGGCCAGGCCCATGATCACCCCTATATAGGCTCCTATAACCATATCCATAAAAAAGTTCCTCCCAATTGTATGCAGTAGATAAATCTATCTAGTAGTAGTATAACTGTATAAATATACCAATTTACCATCTATACATTCATGTGTATGGAAAAAAATGTGGCCAAATCAAGTAAATCAGGCTTCTTTTAAAGAAGACTCCACCTATTTCTGCCACTATGAGGGATGGCATGGCTAATCCAGACTGTCTATCAAATAAGTTATTCAACTTTTAAAATTTCCAGTTTGAAAATGCTATATGCCAATAAAAAGATAATATTTTACTAAATTCCAGGGCTGCCAGGATTGAAAGTCTGAAACTTGCCCAACATAGGGTGGAGAGGGGAATATGAAGCCCCACACCTAAGCAACCATATAAAGGCTTACTGGGTCATCAGCACTTGGTCCATCCATATATTTAAACAGAAAACAACCTTTCACTCTCTAGTTCCTTTTGAATTTCAACCATCTTTCGTTGGTTCTGCTCAAATTCTTTATCAGAGGAGGCAACAGCAGCCTTTAGCCACTTCAACTCTTTCTCAGCATCTGCTAATTCCCATTTTGCAATCTCTGTGCTGACAGCAAGGTGTCGGTTTTCCAAAGAAGCCTTTCCAGCTTCAGCAATATAAACTTTCATCTGTAAGACCAAAACTATGGTTTAGAAGAAGCAGAAACATCGAATGGTAGGTTCCAGATTAAGAAGCTTAACCTGCTCTTCGCCATGGGCAATTTTCAGTTTCAAGGATTCTAGTGATGCATTAACTTGTTGGAGTTGCTTTGTTAATGCTTGCTTCTCAGAAAGGAGAATGCTTTGTGCTTGTTTTGTTTTCACACTCTCGGACACCAACTGCAGTATATAACCCACAACAATTAGGATACCAGCTAAGAATCAAATGAATAAGTACATTAGGCTAAAAAATGGTATAGGACTTAAAAGAAGACCCTTTCTTTTTCTTTGATAATTAGAAAAAGGGTCCTTTCTTATGATTTTACCATTGCAGTAATGGTGGCCAGACCCGTATACCCATTCACTCACAACCAACCCCCTACCTGGGGGCAGGAAAACTAAAACAAAAGGAAGAAGCTTCTCAATAATGGGACTCAACTGGTGACGAATGATATTACAAGACAAACCTTAATATTGTAATCATCTCTATCAGTGACTTGCTGCAGCAAATGTTGATTCTGTGTCTGCATATCTTCATATGCTTGACCAATGGTCTACATAAATATAAGAACAAATAAGAATAATAAATACAATATATTAAACTAAAGGAAAGAAAGTAATATTTGCTGCCTATCCAGAAATACTGCACAAGCAAACAGAAATATATGCTAAAGAATCATCACTACACCTCAATTTCAGATATGTATGTTTCTGCTTCCCCATCTTTAATTTTTATTGCCTCTGTAAGCTCCAGGATATCTCTGCAGGAGAATGATAACCACCCCTTGTAGTTCAATGAAAGTTAAGCACAGCTTGTAAAGAACTCATAAACCATCAATAAAAATTTTGATAGAATTCAGAAAAGATGGTTATTAGCTAATCCTATCTAACCTCTCATTCTTCAGTTCCACTTCCACCATATTTAATAGGAAATAACTATACACTTAGGAGACCCTTGGAACCTAGAAAATGCTATCATGGATCCCATACAATATCTTTCATAAACTAAATGGATGTCTCTTTAAAAATAGAAGCACCATGCATGTCTCATTCTTGAGATTTTTTTTTTTTCATTTTATCTAGTTTTTAAAGCAACAAAGCATAGCAATATGGAATGAAGTGCATTTTTCCCATCTCCTACTGAAATCCACCAGGTGGTTGATATTCACCTTTGGTCCAAGTCAGTGTATTAAAAGTGTAAGCACACATGCATGCACCCGGCACAGGCTTTTCCAAAAGGTGCATGCTCCTTTCAAAAGATGCATACCTAGCAAACTAGGGCCATGGTGCACCTTTCACCTCAGCACAGGCTTGTGCTATCGAAGTTTGCTTTCTGATTATTTTTGCACATTCTTACATATTCCACAACTTGTAATGGTCCACCAACTTCTAAATTACCTTTTATTGGTACTAGTACACTAGTAATGGTCTATTAACTTTTAAAAGAAATAGAAAAACAAAGACCTTTTGAATACATACATGAAGCCCTAGTTTTGCATATAGGATCTCAGATAGCAAAGTTCCCATTAAAAGAAACGACATCTCAAACCCTAAAATAGAATGAACTGAAACAAAAATTATAAAATCAACCCCCTTATTTGCATGGACCAAAAAGTCAGATAGATGTCACTGCCTTCAAAGTTCAAGCCTCCCACATGAGCTTGTAATGTAGGGTGCCAATGGGTTGGGTTAGACAATACTCAACATGACCTGACCCTAAAGGATCAGATTTGGGGCATGGTTGCTCAGGTATAAGGTCAAGGTTGGGTTTCAATTCCTCAACCCTTTGAAACCCTAGTTGGGTTTGGGTCAATATCAAGTCCCTCCAGCCCAAGCCAGCAGGTCATGATACCAAAGAGTATACTTGTAAAACCCCATAAGCCATTAACCCTAGTTGCTTAAATAAGCTGTTGTTCTTCATATTTAGTTGTTTTTTATTTTTATTTTTATTTACTTTTTTTTTTTTTACTTTGAACATGGGAAGGGAGAGGACTGATTGGAATCTGGACAAGAAGAGATGATGGATGAGTTTTCTAGTCCGGTAAGCCTTCTAGAATCCTACCTTCTTCTAATTTTCTGTAATCTAATCCAACTCCCAAGATTTTCCCTTCTAAATTTTCTCTTTTGTTTTTCTTTCTTGCCAAAACAAAAGTAGGCTTTTCCGTGTCTTCACTCTTTAGGGGTCACTTCCTTGCTTTGTCTTCACTCTTCGAAAACAAAGCATCCAATAACACTGCAGCATGACACTAGAGCTGAAACAAAGAAAATAAACAATACATAACCCAAAAGAACACCTAAACTAAGACCCAACTACGACAAAAAAGAACACACACACGGGAAATCATCTTTTTCACCAAGTACCGACACCCTTCATTATCAATACAAATTTGATTTCACTAGTCACTATGAATGCATCTTGTTGTTTGTGGACTGATCTTTGTTTTATAATATTTACTTCCATTCTTACACTTGTTTTTTTTTAAGAATCAAGAAAAAAAATTATTAAAAGGAAAAAGAGCTACACCCTAACATCTTTGGTTGTCTAGATGGCACACCACATACATTCTCAAAACTTCAAATTGAAAATGATTAAAAACTCTTATATTTCTTACACTTGTTTTTGCTCAAATGTCTCTTCCACTTTGGCTCGTACATCATGCAAAACTATTCAACAACAGATCAGATTGGGTTGGCATTGGGTAATAACCATATAGGGTCAGGGCAGGTTTGGAAATTCCATCCTTCTAAGTCAGGGCGGGGTGGGTTAGGGTGCAGCCACTGGAGGATCAGGTTTGGGTAGAGGCAAACCTGTACTGAACCTGACAGATTGCCATCCTTACTTGTATGGACTAGCCTCGAGGGGCCCAGAAGAAATATTATATAACGGTTCCAACCCCTAGAATTAGGATTAAAAGATGCATGTCATCACACTAGCTACTTCAAGTAATGCAACAAGGAGATAGAGAAACGCATTTAGAGGTTCACATGCTTGAACTGTTGAGTTCTTTCATTTTCACTTTTAAGTTTGTTTATATGTTTAGTTTACGTACTTTGATTTGAGCTAAAAAGCATTTTAAGACATTTAATTTCTTTTTAAATTCAAGTTTGAATATGTATGTTTTTATTTATTTTTTGGATTTTTTTTTTAAATATGCACCTTCCACCTTGTGCCTTGGGCACTAGACAGCCCTTATGCTTTCTTTTTTTTGTGCCTCTTGCTTTAAGTACTGATCTAAGTGGAAAAGCATTATGGACACCATAATTTACAATTTGTTGGTCCTTACTAAAGAAAAAAATGAGAAAGCTTTCACAGCTCCCGGATCCCAGTGGAGTAAGTCATTGTTATTCAGGTGGCCATCTCTTGGCACATAGGATTCCATGCCCCTTCATATCAATAGATTTTATTTACCAATTGGAATACAAAAATGTTCTCAAGAATATATCCTTTTTAATATACCACATGCATACCACTTGGAAAAGAGGCATCAATGCATAACTGCTAATCATAATGGTGCAAGCACAAGGCGCATGATAAAATCTCTTTCCTTTTCTCACTTTTCAATTGAGCCCCTGTCCCAAAGGTTGTCCCTTAACTTCAATACATGTTTTAAATAGGCACCGTTGTAACATGTCAATGATCTACTACTTTCTTCTTATTTTATCAGTACTATTTTCTTTTCCTTCCTCACTTTATTGAATTTTATGTTTCTTGCATATTTGGGTGACCACCTGGAGGAACACTTATAATGCTTTGCACAAGTTAATCTCCTATTCTTTAACTATTAGCATTTGGGAGTACTTCCTTTATTCGGGTGCAGGCAGAGTCCTCCTGGAGACATCAAAAACATATTCAGCCCTTATTTCTTCTCTCCCAATAGGAAGGGTAAATGGTAACCATGGTTTAAAACGTCCATAAATTTCTTAATATTTCTACATGTTTCCATTTCCATGGGCAGCAACATGAAATTTTATTGGAATCAACACATTTCCCAGTAAACACTACCAACACTATGTGGTGTATAAGAGATAGTATATAGAATAAGTTGCTGACAATACTGTAGATATGTTTTTCGTTGCCAAATTAATAGTGGGATTTGTTTTTTGTTTTTCATTGACAAGGCCTTGTACATCCCTCCCTTGATTAATGAAATCTGTTCTCTTTTCTCAAAAAAAAAAAAATGTTGTAGATATGTGGAGTAGCAATGCTATTGCCTGCCTAAAGTACATGATTACCACTTTGAGCCAGTTCGATATTCATTTCAAACATGAAGTTAAATATAGTTTTTATTTGTGTAATAGATTAGAATCATTTTGCTTTAGCTCATCATGTAGTTTTGAATCTTAAGGTTTACATAATAACCTCACAATGTATTCTTTTGTCTATAACCTTGGTTTCTTAGCTTTATTTAATGATTTGGAACAAGATAATAATTTAAAAAGGTGTGCCTATGCTTCTTCTATCATTTCATAAAATATCATTCCATATATTTGCATATTTTACAATGTTTCCACCATGTCTATGATTTTTACAATATTTCCGACATGTTTCCCATATTTGGACAACCAACACTTTAAACTTGGATGGTAAAGAAGTCACACCAGAGCAGCTATTCTACAATGTGTGTGAGAAGAGATCATAAGTTACAATGAAAGGAAGCTATCATAGAAAACATTTATGTTAAACTGTGGTGAACTCCATCCTTGTTTCCTAATCAAAAATGATTTTTATAGCTGCAATCTTGGAGTACTTCCTTTCTAAAAATGACGATGTAATCTAAACAACGATGATGCAATAGTAATAAATATAGAGGAGAAAAGGACAACACACATGGGAACCAGTAGCAAATAGTTAGGGTAAAACCTAGTTCAAAGAAAGCATGAGAAGAAATAAAAAAGGAAATTCCACCACACATGGAAAGAATCAAAAACCCTCCATTAAGATGTCAAACAAAAGAAACAGAGACCCGACCTCTCAGAAGCATCCAGTTTGGCCCTTAGATCAGCTATTTCAGCTTCAGCAGCTTTAAGTCTTTGTTGGCAAGCAGCCTCAGCTTCATTGGCAGCTTTCACTCGCAATTCTAGGCTATGTTCTTCTAGAGCATTTTTCAGAACTTCAGCTTGCAGAAGAGCTCTACGTTCTGATTCTTTAATTTCCATCACATCCCTGGAATGATGATGGCAAAGCTTATTTTACATGTGAGTTAAGATTACGAAGATTCTAAATAAAACTGGATCTTTGGCAATGGAGCACTTGGTAATGAAAAAGTTCTTAGAAATCGATCCAAAATTTACCTGTGCAGTTTTCTACTCAGACATATAAATCCACTATGCTCATCAACGTAAACCTTTCCTAGTTTCAGTGAGGTTTTACTTAATATAGAGATACAACTTTAATGAACTTTAATGATAGTGCATCAGGAAGGGGTTTCAGGCCTGGGATCCAGCAGCGCATCTTAGATTGTTTCTCTTATTTTATGGTCATGGACCGCATGGTAAGCTAGTGCTGTTCTTTGTACTCTATGTTACTGTTTGTACTGTCCCCTACTATCCCTTTTTTGATAGTTGAGATTCCTTTATCTTCACTAATAAAGTCTCTTTATCAGTGTTAATGATCAGAAAATATATCTTTCTAGATCAGTGACAATCAAAGTATTTATGAAAATATATCTTCATTAACCTGGAATTTTTTCCCAGTGACATTCAAAGTATTTATGAAGATTTTGTAAAGAATGAAATACAAAGTGTGCACAACACCCCTTTCGACTTCTCGCTTAATGACATCATGGGGAATTGGCAAACAGTAGCCAGCTCCTCTACTACAAGGAACATTTGTAGCATACCTAGGTCCCATCCAACCCTCAATTCCATCAAACTTTGATGGCCGAAGTTTGGGAAATCTGGATTTATCTGGAATTGAGGATGTTTAGAGATGCCAATGGCAGAATAGTTGGCCTATTTTCAGGACCTGTAGACCATGGTGAGACTACTTGGGCTGAACTTCTAGCGACTTATTAAGGGATTAGATTAGCTGTGAACCTTAATACAGAAATCTTGTAGTGGACAGAGACTCAAATGTTATTGTAGGTGGCTTACAAGAAATAGAAGTGGGTTTATAGATGGACCCTGAAATCAGTCAATTTCTTGGCTGATGGGCTCACAAAACAATGTTTAACCAGAAGTCAGTTATTTTGGGGATTGATACTTCAAGGAAGAGAATTATGACTGACCTGGAGTTGCAGACACATTTAGTATCTCTCCAGCATTTCATAAAATTCATGAAAAACACAAGACAAATCAAATATATTTCTTCTCTTAAACTTTCATGGTTCAACCTTTAACCATAGGCAAATGTGCACCTTCCAATTGACTGCTGAACTTGACAAGACCAATAGCAACGTTAATTCATGAGCAGCTTTGATCCATAAAATTCTAGAAAGATTAAAGAACAAAAAGTTCATGGACACATATGACCTGAGCCAACATCCTGTTAAACATTACCTATTGTCAAAACAACCCTGTCCATGCATGTCCAAGAAGATTTGCAGTTCCTGTTTTTCCTTCTGCAATTTCTCAATCTGCAGTATTTTACCTTATTATGTTAGCAGACATTAGTTGATTTAGATAGTGCTCTCAGAAACAGCCATCAGAACACTCAAAAGTTAGTCCTATTTTAGGATTTAAGAGAGAAACATCCCATGAGAAAGAAACAAATGCAGCACAGGCACGTGAACATACCAGCGCTTTAAGAGATTTGATCTCTGCAATCTGTTCAGCACATCTATCAGAAAGGCCCTTGAGTTCGCTTTTCTGCAGTAAACCACAGGAAAAAAAAACATCAGAGAACAAATTATTTGGTTGAGAGAAGTATATATTTGGGTTGGATCAGTCTGATGACAACCAAGCAACCCAACTAAGTTACAATCAGTTTGGACAAGGCAAGGCCTGTTAAGCCAAAGGGGCTCAGCCCAATCCCAGCAAACTGAAATGGTGGATTATTTCAAGGTCCAAGCCAGTCTGAACTTGATAGGACTCGTCCACCAGACTACATCAAATGCAACTTTGATGGATGCAGTCTCAGCAACCCAGGGGATTCAGGAATTGGAGGTGTATTCCATAATGGACACATAATAACCTTTTTCTAGTAGGCAATGGTGATTCCCTTGGAACAGGACTTCTAGTCTTCACACACAGTCTCAGATTGGACTATTCTCTTAAATTACAACAATGTAATTGTGGATGGGATCTAAAGTAGGTGGCATGGTTCTTAAATGACAACCTAGGTCTATGGATTCATTGACATCTCTTAAGGGAAGCAAGGTGGATGCCTAAAGCCCTAAACAGATGGGTATAAGATTTACTTGGGACTCAAAGATCAGCTAATAATCTGGCAATAGTATGGCCAAACAAGGGGTGTTTAGAAATCAACTGTTTAGGGAATTCTCTTAGAAGCACACACACACACATATATATATATATATATATGTAGGAAAGCTTGGGGTTAGATAGCAGGGGCCAACCTAAAATTTCAATCAAGGGGTGGCCGGCATTGATAATATTTAGATTATTACTTTTTTCCATATTGAATAAATCTGATTGGTTAGCAATAAAAAGGACTTTCTGGATGGTGTTGATTCCTTCAAAAAGCTATTAGGTGTCGATTCCTAACAGTTCCTCTAGGTATTGATTCTTAGAGAATCCCACCTGTTGATTTACCGGCTATTTTTTCTTTTTATTTTTATTTTGCACAACCATCACCAACAATTATAGACCACTGAGAATTCAATTAAAGAATGGAATTTGCGTAATAACATAGGGATAATCAAAACCTTTTTGCTTAATAAAGCTTTGAGGGAATGAGCTTCTTCACGTAAGGAGATAGCCTCACGTGCTGTCTCCTTAGACCGATTCAACTGGCTTTCCATCATTCCCATTTCCTTGGTCAAAGCTGAAGCCATTACACGGAACTCTGCTTTGATGTCCTTCCTCCCTGAAGTAGCTACCATTAGACACCAGATCCCAAATAGAGTAGAAAACTGCAAAAATATTGCATGACAGCATTTCCATGTAAGATGTTCCCACTAACCTGAATCTTGCTCAGCCTCTTCTAGTTTAATTTCAAGGTCATTTCTTTCAATTATACATTTCTGAAGTTGAAGCTCTAGTTCTTGTATCCGACTCTCAGCAGTGTTGATAGCATTCCTTGCAGCATCTGCTGACTCAGCTTTTGCAGTCAGTTCCTTCTCCCTCCGCAAGATATAAGTCCTGTCTGCCTGAAGTAAAACATTTAAAAGTCACAATTTTTTTGTGAAGAGAAACAGCAATCAGAGCATATGCAACCAGATAATATCTTTACCTGCAGGGATTCTGTCAATCCTTTATACCGCTCCAGTTCAGCATTCCAATGTTGGAGTTGATCGCTTAATAAAGTGTATGGTTTAGATGAGATTAGGAATCTGTCATCCTTCAGTTCATTCTATACAAATACAACCCATTAGGGTAACAGATATCAGTAAAGAGATTCCAATAAAACAAATCACCTTTTGAAGAAACTTTGAGACAAGAGTACAAAACCAACCTGAAGAGTTAGCAATTGTTTTGACAGGATTTGATTATCTTCCTGTGCTTCTTGAAGCTCAGAAAGACGGCTAGCAGCCAGTATCTGTGTGTAATAAATAATAATGACAATCAATCAGAAGCATATCTGAATGAAAATGAAGCAAAACTTCATCTTTGGAGGTCAAGCAAGAACAATAATCTATTCACATGCCAGTTTCCTCCTAGGCAAGCTTCCTAATAGGAGTAAAATACCTTTGCCTCATCAATGGAATCCTTCAGTTCTCGCAACCCCAAATTTCTATCTGCTGCAGGCTTTTCTGGCGACATGCTCCCATTTACTGCATTCGAAACTGAAACATGCATTGCAGATGCCCCACCCTTTTGCATCTTTAGGTTCACTAATCTCCTCCTACTTTCCTCAAGTTCTGCCATACTTTCCTCCAGCTCACCTTTTAACATAAAGGAAAAGCAAACCACATTGAATGGACAACCAGGATAGATCATCTCCCACCTAGTAACCTGATTTTGCCTACCTATCTGCATGGATGCCTTGATCATAAACATCCATACAGAAAATACATGTATCCAAAATAAGTTAAAAAGAAATGTTTCTCAAGACCTGCAAGGCGTTTTATTTCAGATTGGTCCGATGTATGGCTGTGAATATGATTTTGAATCTCATCTGCATATTCTCTGTGTTTCAAGTGAAGAATGTCAATCACCTTTCTTAGATTGTTAGCCTCCTCTTTCATCAAATCATCAATCTTATGCAGTTGTATGATGGCATCTGAGAGAACCAAGTAACAAATAAGAATCAGCAAAATAAAATTATCACACAATTATAACACTTGTACTCAGCAATACATGGCCAAATTAAGGAAGCAAATGAAGACAAACTAAAAGAGAGATTCTCATATCAAGATCCCCTCTGACCTTCTGATGATAGGTTTCCATGTAAGGTTGATGCTATGGTATTGGTTTTAGCTCTCTGAGAATCAATAGTGTCCTCTAAGCATTTCATCAAACTTAGTGTAGATGAATGGCGTAAAGCAAGTGCTTCTTCTACATATTTGATAATATCATTAGTTCCATTCGTTTCCACTGGACCTGCTTCTAGAAGTCTACAAAGAAACATCTCCTCCCATGGACATGATGGAATTGAACCTAGGAAAACAAAAGCACTGACAGTCAATTAATATTATTTGCTTGAAATGAACTACATGCTCAACTCTGATAATTTTGATGGACAGATAACAATTTAAAATGCATTACAAAGATCAGCATACAACCTCCAGAAAAGCCTGCATGATCCAGAGCTTGTAAACCATTCTCATTCCCACCAGCTCGTACTCCAAGCAGGATTAAATCATCAACCAACTACAATTGCAATAACAAGTAAAAATGAAAATCCAACATGGAAGAAAATTTGTAAAAGATGGAAAAGATATAAAATGTGGAGAGTGTGCATAAATGCAATATTCCAATATTGACCTGATTCCAGAGTTTGTTGACTGTAGCCAAAGTGTCATCATATGACGCTTGTTTGTCTTTTAGTTCCTTGAACTTGCCCTCCAAAACATGCAATTCATGTTTCTGGGCATCCAATTGCTGAACAAGCTTTTGATTCTGGTATTGGAGAACTGCTGCATCAACCTGCAAATAAATATTAGGCTATAACATGGTCTTCCTCTTTAACCAAGTAATGAAATATCAACAAGGTCTGCACAATATTTGGAGGTGGAAGGGGGGGAGCCCAACCTGGTTACACACAGTTTACCACTCCTAAGCACAATAAAATCGTACCTTTTTTAGGGTGGTGGTGTTTAATCATCAAAACATACTTATTGAAACAACATCTTTATTATGCAACTTGGGTTGGGTCAACCCGAACCCAATCCCACCCCCAGAAATAGTAATCTGGGCTTAAAGAGATGATCTGAAAAGGTTTAAATGATTGACTAGAAATATGACCTTTAGAGTACAGTGGGAAAGAAGATCGGCCAATGGATTGATTAGCAGATTATTTAGCCAAACAACCTGGTTACACACGGAGTTTACCACTCCTAACCAAAATAAAATTGCACCTTTTTTAGGGTGGTGGTGCTTAATTATCAAAACATATTGAAACAGCGTCTTCATTATGCAACTTGGGTTGGGTCAACCTGAACCCAATCCCATCCCCCAGAAATAGTAATCTGGGCTTACAGAGATGATCTGAAAAGGTTTAAATGATTGACTAGAAATATGACCTTTAGAATACAGTGGGAAAGAAGATTGGCTAATGGACTAGCAGATGCTTTAGCCAAACAACCTAGTTACACACAGAGTTTACCGCTCCTAACCACAATAAAATTGTACCTTTTTTAGAGTGGTGGTGCTTAATTATCAAAACATACTTATTGAAACAACATCTTCATTATGCAACTTGGGTTGGGTGATTGGGTCAACCTGAACCCAATCCCAAACCCCAGAAATAGTAATGTGGGCTTACAGAGATGATCTGAAAAGGTTTAAATGATTGACTAGAAATATGATCTTTAGAGTACACTTTAAATGATTGACTAGAAATATGATCTTTAGAGTACAGTGGGAAAGAAGATCAGCCAATGGATTAGCAGATGGTTTAGCCAAACAAGGCGTTTACAGGGATCATTTGTATTGGGCTTAGTCATTGTTGTACAAGAAGAAGAGAGAAAGGGAGAGAGGAGAGGAGAAACAAGAGGACTGAGAGTCCAAAGAGATACTGCAGGCGGCGCAGTATGTTATATTTATACTAGGGCGACAACAACTAAACATAAAGAAAAGGAAAAGTACAATAGTACCCCTGCGGTACTATACATATATAAAATAGCATCTGTTAACACTCCCCCTCAAGTTGGAGCATAGATATCAATCATGCCCAAGTTGTCACATAGATCATGATGTCTTGAGTGGTGTAGTCCTTTTGTGAAGATGTCTACAAGTTGGTCCTCAGAGCTGACATAGGGAGTACACACTTCGCCTATGATGACTTTCTCTCTGATAAAATGCTTGTCGACTTCGATGTGCTTTGTTCTATCGAGTAGCACTGGGTTAGCAGCAATGTTTATGGCTGCTTTGTTATCACAGAATAGGGTCATAGGCCTGTCCACTGGAAAACCCAACTCACTCAACAGATTCTTTATCCACATACTTTCAGCCACTCCATGAGCCATTGCTCGATATTCAACTTCAGCACTGGATCTAGCCACCACACTTTTCTTTTTACTTCTCCAGGTAACAAGGTTTCCTCCTATGAAGGTGCAGTAGCCACTAGTAGATTTTCTGTCATTTTGAGATCCAGCCCAATCTGCATCAGTATACACTTCAACTTTCAAATGCTTGTGTCTTTGAAACAACAAGCCAGCACCTGGAAACCTTTTAAGATATCGGAGGATTCTTTCTGCTGCTTCAAGATGAGTGGGCATAGGTGCATGCATAAACTGGCCAAGGACACCAACAACATAAGCAATGTCTGAGCGAGTCATAGAAAGATATAACAATCTCCCTACAAGTCCCTGAAACTGTTTCACATCCTTGATAGGTTTACCTTGGTTGTCACCTAATTTATGGTTGGAGTAAATCTAGGACATACTTCATTTGAGAAATGAAGATACCCCTTTTTGAGTGGGCAACTTCAATTCCAATGAAGTATCTTGGAGGCCCTAGATCCTTTACTTCAAACTGTGTGGCAAGAAAGCTCTTCAACCTCTGGATTTCATCCTTCCAATCACCAGTGACAATTATATCATCGACATATACTATCAAAGCAACAATTTTACCTTCTCCTCTTTTCACAAACAGTGTGAGATCAGATTGACATTGCTTGTATCCTTTCTGCTGAACCGCAACATGGAATCTACTGAACCAGGCTCTTGGTGATTGTTTCAGGCCATATAAAGACTTCTTCAACTTGCACACCTTTTGTTCATTGCCTTGAGCCTGAAAACCAGG